TCACGCGTGCACCTTCACTGAGTTTTGTAAGAGGAGAATCTTCAGAGAAGATTTAAGAGGCTAGACACTTGGTTTCCATTGCAGAAGAAAACTAATTAATTTAGGTGCCTTTACAAATGGCCAGCTACATTCATGTTGCCACAGTTTTTTAAAGCCCTTGCATCAACCTTTCACAAATTCTTGTCCCCACACTCTGAGGCGGCCTGGACAGGTCTGTGTTTGCCTGTGTCCAAGAGGGATACTGCTCTGAGATCACATGCTCCTCCCTCCAGAACAGACTCCTTGTTCGTATAATTCTCCTTAAAAACACATTCTTCATGTGCTCATCAAATACGTGGCTACTTTCCTGGGAGCCTTTTTTTTGCCCATTCGTATTACTGCTGAAACAGGGTATCTTCTCAATTTGGCCCGAGCAAGCGTCAACTGTGTGGCTTCTGCAGCGTGTGTCCCTCTCTAAGCAGTCAAGCCAGCTCCTTCTCCTCTACCATTTCCCACTTGTCTGTTAATTTTCCTACAAATGATGTGAAATGACGGCATCTCTTCTACCTGACCACTGAAACAATTTTTCTGCCATGTTGTTTACTAACTGCAAGACTATACTCCTATCTTTTCTACATCTCAGCTCTTATTTGCTTTGGTTGTATTTTGAATAAAAATAATCCTTAAAAAGAAAAAAAAATGTAAACCTAGTATACTTTAGAATGTCCAAACTTAACTCTAGTTTCATTTCTAGTACACCATGGATTATTTCTGCTTCCTGCCTTCAACAGAGATACATACCATGTAGCTCAAAGCATCACTAGCAGTAAATTTAAAATCACGAATTGCCTGCGTAAAACTTTAAGCTTATTATGTATATGAGCTGCACTTTTTATGACAGCAGAATTTTGACCATTGCATCCATCTTTTTGCTCAGCCTTACCCTCCTCTTTGCATTTCTCTCTCCAGAGAAGATTATCTTCAGCCAGAATTCTCCAGTAACGACACGTCTGGGCTGCCTGTAGAAGGTCCCTGGGTTCCAGGAATGACAGCACATACAGCGCCAGCTAGAAAAAAGAAAAAGAAAGTGTATTTTCTTCATTGCTTTTTAAAGGAAAAGTGAAGTAACTCCAAGTACTATTGCACATCAGGGGCTGAAATACAGAAAATTGAAATGCTAAATTATTAAACAATCTCAGAAACGTAACAAAGCTACAGTTTATCCCAGTGGGCATATGAAAGTGTAACAATCACCTTAAGTAACTGTATCCGTACCCATCAGAAATGATTCTTGTGTTTGCAAAAGAGCAGACGTCAGCTGAAGTCACCACTACCCACGGAACTTTGAACCACTAACAGAATTACTACCAAAGCAATGACGTCTGTGTTATTTTAGCTAACACACATAGAGGAAGTTATTTTGTGCTTAACTACAAGTACAACACTTGCCACTGGAGCAAACAGGAAAGCCTGTTGTGGTGAATCGTTTACTTTTTCTGTATCTGCGCTTACTGAGTGACCTTTCACTCAGTAAGCTTAAATACCGTAGAAGTGAACGCTATGCGCACATGAGCTCCAAAGCGCTCTGCAGCCCTGGGAAACGCCGCACACCAGTCGCTCCTTTCCTGATGAGAATGCAAAGACACGCCTCAGCGGTCGCGCGGGGAGCTTTATGGACCGGGGTGCATGAGGATTGAAATATTGTAACTTTGGTGCCGTACACAGGATGTTACCAAAATCCTACGGGAAATCCCAGTGAGCACCAGAAGATAAAGAGAAGATGAACTTTTCCTATGTGGTGAAATTAAAGGTTATCGGGAGAATTCAGACCTCAGTTGACTGCGCTAAGCCGCATAATGACCATGATAAACCTGCCAAAATCTCCACAAGCATCTTCAGGTGTATTGAAGTCTTAAGGAGGGACAGAGGCATCTAAAACCCAATTCAAAATGCAGGGACAGCTATGCTTAAGGCTAAGACGACCAAGTACAGCTCTTCTACTTGACAGCAACAATGCACCTCTCCAGGCACGGAAAATAAAAGTCTAGGATGCAGTGAAGTCCCTTCTATTCCTAAAAACTCTGCAGAAAGAACAATATTGCTAAAAGTGATGCTGAAGCAGTGAGATCTTTGTCAGTAACTAATAGGATGCAAAAGTTGTCAGGGAAATCAGATCATCCACTTTTACTTCTGCTTGACATCTCTTTTTGTGTTTAGGATCTTAAATTTTCAGCTGAAGTTACGATGTATATAAATAGAAACTGCCCTTCAAAGCAGCACAGACTGAAATTCAGTAAGGAAGTCATAACCGCAGGCTGTTGACCTCAGCAGATTTTTGACCTTATTACATAAAAAACATTTACTTTCAGTGATCTGGACCAGCCGGTGACTGAGCAGGAAATCAAAATTCAGTATGCCAGGACCGCTTGCATTTTGGCTGCACGCACACACCCACCTTGTTTGCAAGTCATCACCTGCAGCTCACTCTGAGCACGCAGGACTCCATGTTTGAGGGACCTGTGTCTTAAGTTACGTGTTAGATCCCGTGTGCACCCCAGGCCATAAACTTGAGGAATCTTCCTTCGGTCCCTACGTGGGGAGTCAGCATTTAGGATCTTGTGTACAGCTCTCAACAACTGTACCTGTCCCTTTAGACTTTCTGTCTTAATCCTTGGTATGCAAAATTATTTAAGTATTGCTGTTTTCTAGCACACATGAGAGAGTCCTGCAGGCAGCGAGACTCAAACTTGAAAGAGATCCTTTCCATTTTTGCTGGATGTTCCTTAACCAACAGCAGAGTTTGTTTAAATATCACTTGTCCTGTCTGTACAGATATGGACGCTTGTGAAGATGGTGTTAATTAAAACCTGTGAGCCAACTGATTCTAGAACAGGTTACATATGGGTGACATTTATTTTAGACTATATTTATCTAAATAGTCATCAAGGGTCAACACAGCCCACAGTTGACTTTAAGATTAGTAGGGCATAAAAGATGACGTCCCTTTGTCTCAGCTCATGGATCTAGTTATAAGAAAACTTCAGGTAGCAAAGATCTGACCTTTGACTCAACTGCACTTAAAACTACTCTGCTGTAGTAATAGCCAGTAACAAGCAGTCTTTCGCCTTTTTTCTCTGCTCACACACATGGCACCAATAAAATTCTTTGGCTGATTTCATCAAAACTCCCAATCTGTTGGTTTCAAGACCTGTTTTTTTTCAAACAAGTAATTTCAATAATTATTTCTAAAGTCCCAGCGAGAACACAGAGGTATTCATTTCAGATTAACTGTCTGACTGCACCTTTCCTCAGGAGGAAAGCAAACATTTTCCTGGTTATTCAGCTATCGGGTTATTGCCCTTGCATTACTGAAAACATTTTTGAAGAAAAGCCCTCATGTCCAAATCATCTTCTTCTGGTTAGGTAATAAAACCACTGCATCGCGTCCAGCCGCACTGGAGATAACCACAGACGTTAATGTGAAGCGACAGCTCGCGAGAGCGTGTTTTCACAGGACGCTGGCTTCGACAAGGAAGCCCGTTTACAGAACTACTGACCCAAACAACCTGCTCGTGCCCCACTGCTCTGTTTGTCCCCTCCTACTGCAGCCAGTGTCAGGAGCTGGGGACAGCATTGCTTAGGAGATGTGGGTGAAGAATCATACTCAAAAAAGGAGAGGAGATGGTGGAGTTAGCTCAATGGGTCTCTGGCACAGGCTGCCCAGGGAGGTTGTGGAGTCTCCTTCTCTGGAGACATTCAAAACCTGCCTGGACGCGTTCCTGTGTGACCTACTGTAGGTGATCCTGCTCTGGCAGGGGGGTTGGGCTAGATAATCTTTCGAAGTCCCTTCCAACTCTGAACATTCTGTGATTCTGTGGGGGTTAGGAAACAAAAATTATTTAAGCCAGCTTCACCGGTGAAGTCAGCCTTTCAGGAAGCTAAGTGCTTGCCAATACTCTGGTTTCAGAAGGCAAGAAAAAAACCCACTAAAAATAAATAAAGCAAAAGTAGCTTATAATGGAGTCAAGAAACAAATGAGAAAGAAAGGCTTACACCTAAATAGGGTGCCTTTTGTGTGAAGAAATTGCTAAAACTGAAATAACAACATGAGCACTGCTTACAGCTTAACTAGATCACTGGCTATGCCTGAATTAGCTTTACCACTAAATCATACAAAGACAACTGAGGTGTGAGTTACCGCTATCAATTCTGTATTAAATTTCCAGACTTAAGATATGCAAGAGTGGCAAAGTATCTTCTGTCTTCTCAAAATAGAAAATCTTGCAGCCTTCCTCCACCTCTGAACTAAGGCTGCTTTGGGCAGCCTCTCCAGAAACATGGCAGCCATACAAAGGCCTTCCTAAACTCTTGGCAGCGGGTTGGAACTAGATCATCTTTAAGGTCCCTTCCAACTCAAACCATTCTATGATTCTACAGTTGTCGTCCCCAGTGTCCTTCCCGTTTAACTGCAGACTTCAGCCCTCATGACAATTTTCACACAGAAAACCTAACATGTGGTAGACCTGGGGAAAAGAAAAAAAAGACTTCCTGCCCAATCCAAAACAATTTCCAATGCCCTAACATCAACCAAGGTCAGAAGTACTATTTCTAAATAAACGAGAACACATTGATTTAATAATTGTAGCAAATTGGGTTCATAATCTTTCATACCCACCCTCCTGTTCTTGTTGTGAAGGCATCAAGAATTACTCTTCTGTGCATAGCATTTAGTTACACACACCAAAATCTAAATCTCAGTTTCTCTTTAACCTGATACAACGTGATCTGATTTGCAGTAAAGGATTTACTGTAAGATATCTGCTTAATTAGGGTTTGGTTTTATCCTTAACGAGGAGTGCTTTCGTGGGTTTACTTTTGGGCTTTTTGGTAGGTATTTTAGGGCTCAGTTTGTTTTAAATAAATTCAAAGATAATATTCACAACCTCTCACCACTTAAAGCGCTTATGCTTACAGAATAACGTGTGGAAAGGTCTCGCATCCAGAGTGAATTTTTGTGTGCGCATGCCCTAACAGAAAAAAGCACAATCAGCCCAATTAAGGTACAGAGATATTTTTAAAGCCACTGGAATTTTGCTTAAAGGAGTCATCTCTATTTCCAGGTATCAAAACGTCTGTCAAGAGATAAAGGTATGACAGTGGCCACGCTATGGCTACGTACCAAACTGCAGGTCTCAAACGTCAGTTTCCATCGCTACGCTGGCAAAACTGGATGCCACAACTAGCATGTTAAGTTTTTAAAAGGTGCACAGGCCAGCATGAACCTTTATTTCTCACCTCTTTTGGGAGCAAGGAAATGAAGTCTCTTTGAAACTGGGGTTCTATCACTTGCATCATGTGTTTTACTTGTGTTGGTTCACAACTATCAATCAGTTCATCTAAAGCAAGTAATTTCTCTGGTCCACTCCAGCTCTACAAGGGAAAAAAAAAAAAGAAACAAACAGTAAGCTTAGCTTAATACACCAGTTTGGTTTATCTTAGTAAATGCTGTTGCTTTGCCAATAAGGCAAGTTAAGTT